GCTGTCGCGGTACTGGCGTGCAGCAGCACCGACATGGCAGCTACCCGGGACCGGCAAGTCTCGGGAATGCGATACGCATAAGCGAATCTGGGCACAGCTTTACTCAAACACCCGTACTGGCACTGCAGTGCGCATGTGCCGGTATCGGCTCGGCGCTACGCATGCGCCACTCTCGGCACAGAACTACGCGTGCCCGAGCATCAACACCACACTGCGCAAGAGCAACTCCCGGCATCACACTGAGCATGTGCAAGTCTCGGGACAGCATTGCGCATGTCCCAGCCGCTACACCGCGCTGCACACGTGCCTGTCTCGAGAAGGTTCCACGCATGCGCCAACCCCGGGACAGCAAGGCGCATGCGCCTCGCTTGGCACTGCACTGCGCGTGCGGCAACGTGCAGCGGTCATTTCGCATGCACATTTTCGAGTACACACCTACGCGTGCGCTGTTTTCGACTCCTCATTACGCATGCGACGGGGGCAGGGGCCACTTGGAGCCAGAATAGTCTGGTCCTGAGGCAGGCTCGAGTGTCAGACTGTCCGTCGACCAGGAGCACGGCCGACTGCCAGAGAGAAAACCATTGCTGAGCCAGTGGTCCAGGAATTGACTGCTCGCCTGCATGTGAAGGCTTTGTAGGTTTGAATGCTATTGATGAGTTTTCCAGCGCATGCGTCCTGTTGCTTGGAGGACTAACCATAACAAAGCTCGGCGGATTTGCTGCGCAGAGCGACGAGAACGTACGTACACCACTTCCGCGTGCTTGCGCGCATGAGTCCTGGTGCCTGGGGCACCGAACGTACGCGGCCGCGATTCCACCGATTGGCCACGAGGGGGCACCAGAGACCGCGGAAACAACAGCTCCGACTGGATTGACGCGGAGCTGCGCCGCAGCTTCTGGTGCTCTGTTCTCTCTTTCTCGTGAGGGCGGAGGAAAAACGCAGTTAGGTAGGGGTTGAGGACGGAGAAGAAAATTACGTCAATTGGAAAAAGACGAAGAAAACCAAGGAAAACTTCTCTACACCTAGCAAACATCTGCTAAGTGCGTAAGAATTTCTAAATAAATAAATAAATAACCATCAATTTGATTTCGTCATGGTTTTTTTTTTTTTGCAAGTGTCTGAGGCGATGAAAAAGCTGGTATCATTGGACAGGTGTACACAGCAAAGCCAAGGATGGCGAGGAACGATTAACAATCGTTAACATGGCAAAACAATCGCAATGCAAAACAGCCATTCAACTTCAAGAAAAAAAAAAATAGTAGTAACAACTTCCGTACCTGGCCACGCCATTCTGAGATCCCATCAGGCTCTCCCGAGGCTTGTAAGTATCAATTTCATCCGGATCAATTTTGATATCAAGCAATTTGTCATCAGTTCTTCCACTCCAAGTAGAAGAACTCCAACCCAGGCCAGGATCTGCCGCAGGGTGTTCTGACCACGGGCACCACGGCTGAACTGATTTAATAGCACTGTGATTCCCAGGTGTGGTTTCAAGGATTTGGTCTACTTTTGACCCAAAGGAAGAATTAACATGAAATGTGAGGTAGGCATAAGAACACCACTATGGAAACACAGCGGCAGAGAAGAAAGCACCCATATTTCCCTGAACCACTGCTTGAAGGAAAAAAGGAAAAAAAGTAAAAATAAAAATAAATTATTTTATATGCTACCTGTTTGAAGGCATATACCACTCTCACTCTTTAAAAGCATTAAAGAAAAAAATAAAATGTATAGAGTAATCTCCTCTAACAATAAACGCATTTGGTCTGGGCAGCAAATGGCGCAGCTCTGTATCACAAAGAACCGAACTCATAAGCACCAGGCTCCTAAGCTCCAGCCAAACCAACCAAACGTGCCTATGGACAGGCAGAATCCTTAAGTAGGACAGCCAGTAAAAATGTCAAACAAAGCACCCAATTCTCAGCCTTGTTGTTCCTTCTTGAAAATCCAGAGGTCTTTGTGTTAGCTCCACCTCTAGCCTGTAAGCAAGCGAGCAGAACAGAGTACCAACTTACTGAAAGGAAAACCTGTAAATCTGCGGCAATGTTTTCTGGCAAGTCAGAGCAGCTGAGACCTGAGGCCAGAAGCTCTTTGTGCTAACTGCTGCTGGCCTCAAGTCATTCTGTCTGTCTCCAAACAGTACGTTTCCCACTCATGAGCCCTGGAGGTAGTGCCTCTTTCACAGGCATGCATTGTAATGCTCCTTTCTCAGAGCAGCATGCCTGTGTCCTATGCACATTGCTGCTTACTGGCAGCGCTCTAGCTGCTAACAACAGACATAGAGTCTGAGGGACTCAGCACCTTCTTCACCTCCGTCTTCTCTGTTAACTGCTCATCACATAGTCCTCAAATGTTTGGTTTGCTAGAAAGGAGTTGGGGATGCAATACTCCCCCACACATGCACTGTAAGCAAAGATCAGCTTCAGGACCTCCTGGGGAACCCGAACATCCAGAAGTCTATGGGTATCTACAAGATGCAACACAGAGTCCTGAAACATTTAGCTGACATAGTCACCAAGCCACTGTCAATGATATTTGGAAAATCATGGCAATCATGTGGAGTCCCTGGTGAGCAGGAACAAGACATCACAGCCATTTATAATATATGTAAAAAGAATGATCCAGGAAACTACCAACCTGTCTCACCTTTTTGCCTGGAAAGATCATGGAGTAGATCCTCATGGAAGCTATGCTAAGGCACACGGAAGGTATAAAGGTGATACGGGAGAACCAGCATGGCTTCACCAAGGGCAAATCCTGCTTGACCAACCCAGTGGCCTTTTACGATGGCATCACTGCACCAGCGGGTAAGGGAAGAGCCACTGATATAATCTATTCAGACTTCAGGAAGGCCTTTGACACAATAGCTTGCAACATCCTTCTCTCCAAATTGGAAAGATATGGATTCAATGGGTATACTGTTCAATGGATGAAGAACTGGCAGTAGAATCAAGTCCAGAGAGTGATGGTCAATGGCTCAATGTTTGGAGGGACATCAGTGACAAGCAGTGTCCCTTGGGGGTCGGTGCTGGGGCCAATACTCTTCAATATCTTCATCAGTCAACAGTGGGGTTGAGTGCACCCTCAGCAGTCCTCAGTACAGGAGAGACACAGACCTGTTGAAGCGTGTCCAGAGAAGGCCACGAATGTGAACCAAGGAATGGAACACATCTCCTGCGAGGACAGGCTGAGAGTTCCAGCTCTTCAGCCTGGAGAAGAGAAGTCTGTGAGGCGAGCTGATAGTGGCCTGTCAGTATCTTAAGGGGACCTATAGGAAAGAAGGGGAACAGACACTTTTGAAGGAATCTGTTGTGATAGAGCAAAGGGAATGGTTTCAAATAGAAAGAGGGAAAATTTAGGTTAGATATAAGGAAAAAGCCTTTTACAGTGAGGGTGGTGAGGCAATGGAACAGGTTACGTAGAGATGTGGTGGACACGCTGTCCCTGGAGACTCCCGAGGCAAGGCTGGATCATGCACCTGGGCAATCTGACTGAGCTGTGGATGTCTCTATTCATTGCAGGAGAGTTGAGCTAGATGACGATTAAAGGTCCCTTCCAACTCCAAGGATTCAACAGTAAGATGCCCGAAACCACAAGACATGGTGACTCAAAGGAGATCGATTGTCAGGGTGCAATCAGGGCAGGTGGGGAAGCCTACATGCACAATGGCTCCTGGGAAACTCATTGAGTACTCCAGTTGTGATGATCCCCCCTGAGATGTTCCACACTGGTCACAGAGCTGCTCCATGCCAGTCCTAGTATTCAGCAGACTAAGGGCCTTGCTTCTTCAAGCTGCTGGTTCGTGCAACTGCAGAGCTAGCTACTTAGTGATGGCCAGGATTTGAGGGTAAGGTTCGAGTATCATGCAGATTAGGAACCTAATAGTGATCCCTGAGGATTGGGATGGAGTTCCATCATCATAGCTCCCCATCCTGGAGTAATTCCTGAACACAACTCCGACTTGTGTTGATGGGTTCAACGTAGGCAGTGGCTCCAGGATATCGGATCTGAGTCAGAACAGCAAAGCTGACTGCAGTGCACTGCTGCTCAGTTCCTTTGACGCAAAGACATCTGTGGCATTCACTGTGTTCAGAACATAGCTCTGAGGGTCCTAATCTCAAACCGCAGCTACAAATTAAACAACAAAAGGGCTGGGAGGAAGATGAAACTATTTTTATATCCTACTTTTCCTGACATATAGAGCTGTCAGGATACTTTGTGATCCCCACCAAAACAAACAAACAAAAAAGCAGCAATAGAAAAGAACAACATTCGGTCCACCTGAAAGATTCTTGTGAGTGACCCTTTTGGAGTGAGCAACCCCCAGGCTTCCCTCTTAAGTTGAGGCATAAGGATGCAGGAACAGATCCCAGACACTGACAGGCTACAATGTGCACATCAAGTCTTTCTTTCTCACCAGAAGCACAACAGTACCAAGAAGGGCAGCCCTGTGGCTTCTGCCCAGAACACAAGTAACTTCCAGTAAAGAATGAAGCACTCCAAGCAACATTTTCATTAAATCACAGAATCACCAAGGTTGGAAAAGACCCACAAGATCACCCAGCCCAACCATCCACTGATTACCAATAGCTCTCACTAAACCACGTTCCTCAACACAACATCCAAATGTTCCTTGAACACCTCCAGGGTTGGTGACTCCAGCACCTCCCTGGGCAGCCCATTCCAGTGCCTGACCACTCTTTCAGTGTCAGATCACCCTAACGTCCAGCCTGAATCTCCCCTGGCACAGCTTGAAGCCATTCCTTTGGTCCTATCACTGTTATACGAGAGAAGAGGCCGACCCCCAGCTCACCACAACCTCCCTTCAGGTAGTTATAGAGAGCAATGATGTCTCCCCTGAGCCTCCTCTTCTCCAGACTGAACAATCCCAGCTCCCTCAGCCGCTCCTCATAAGGCCTGTGCTCCAGACCACTCACCAGCTTTGCTACCCTTCTTTGAACCCGCTCCAGGGCCTCAATGTCTTTCTTGCAGTGAGGGGCCCAAAACCAAACAACACAATACTCAAGGTGCAGTCTCACCAGAGCTGAGTATGGGGGATGGGTGGGAATTACCTCCCTGCTCTTGCTGGCAATACTGTGTCTGATGCAAGCCAGGATGCCAATGGCCTTCTTGGCCACACTGCTGCCTCATGTTCAAGCCAAGCATCAACCAATACCCCCAATTTCAGTCTAAAGAACAGTGCAACTAACTGCAACGTTGCACATGACCATCATTATAGAAATTACTATGTTTGCCACTCCCCTTTACAGCTGAGGGAAAAGAAAGCAGTCTTTCAAAACTGAGTGGGTTTGTGTGTTCATCTCATATAAACTGAATACAATCTAGGCATTTTAAACCAAAATACAGTACTTCCTACAGACATTATGCCTTTCTTGTTTTGCCATTGCCCATTAGATTGCACATCAAAACCACTTAATGAGTCTGAATAAAATGTAGACACTGATATAACTGTGAAAAAGTATCTCCTCCTGCAATTCACTTGTAGGATTCACTATGCTCTAAATTTCACATGGAATTGTAATGCATTTCTCTGTCTGAAGTATTTTTTATGAACTCTAAACAGTATACAAACACTGTCGTACTGAAATAAATGGCTCTTCAATGTACTCATCAAGGAAACTTGGTGAAATACAACTTTATAAAAATATAATTTGCAAACTTACTCTTTTCAAGCATCTCTGTTATTAGTTACCAGTTCCAGATTTTGGGCTGATGCTGAATCTCAGAGCTATTCTCCCACTCCCCTGGAAACGCCCATCGAGTGCTTTAGGAGCATCAATGGAATGTTGAGTAAACTCAATCTCTTCTAGCAAAGCTGTAGCAGCAGCACGACAATAGTACCTTGGAAAAGATCCTTAATAAACGTTGAATAGAGCAATCTCATTACCAACCCTCTAGAGCCAATCAACTGTAATACAATCTGTTCCTATGCTCTAGGGCCTCTGAGAGACTTCCTAAGAAGTTTCCAAGGGCACCTAGTTGACTTCTGGACATTGTAGAACACTCTCATGGAACTCGGTGCCCTTTCATGGCCACACAGTGAACTCTAGAGACAACCAGAAATGTCCCAAAGCTACTGAGCATACTCTGGGGAGCTCGAGACACATCCTACAGCACCCTACAACCCTCTCACAGCTCCTCAGTGTGCTCTAGGGTTCTTCATTGGTTTCCTGTGCACCCTACTGGACCTCAGATGTATTCAACTACATACTGAGCCCCCGCAGCCCACCATCATCACACTAACGGGTTTGCCATGATGCTCCAACTGCCCCAGCCACTGGAATGCTGCACTGAGCCTCTGACTGCAGCGTGCGCTTGCATGCTCACTTGTTTCAGTACACAAATGGAAGCTTTTATTCAAATATATTTTTTTCTAAACTTCAAAGTTGCATTATGTCTAGGTGATACAGTTAGTGGGATTGTTTCATATAAAACCAATGAGAAATAAACATCTGGTACAAATAGGTAACAAAATTCACACTGTATACCATTGTGTTATTTATCTACAACTGTCAACAAATACAACAAAATTAGATATAAAAGATTGCTCCATCAAAATATTAATGAAAGGTATGTTCCAAATGCATAGTAATCACAGTGTGATCAAATACTAAAAAAATAATCAAAGCTTTAGAGCTTTCAAGAGCTGCCATGATCACGTGACTGAAAAGCTACCAAGTTTGTTCAACAAAACAAATGTTTTAACTAAACAAAGACCTAGATAAAAAAAAATGTTTAATCCTCCACCACCACGCGTATTTGCCAGAAGGAACAATGGGGTGAAAAGAATGCAGCGGATATTTGAACTTTTCCTAACAGTACATGTATGTTTCAAAGAAGATCTCTCTGGGAAAAACAAGGTCTATTTGCAGATACTACCAAAGGAAATAGCAAAAGGCAGCAACAAATAAAGTCACAGATAGGATCACAACATATTCCATGGACTGCACAGTGATTAAGAACAATGATCCTGGAGAAGAAAAACAAATCTCTATCCTCAGAGAACACACTGGAGCCTGAACATCTTCATTAAACATTTTAACCCTGGTTTTCCTCCCCAGTGATCTTAGCTGGTATTTCTGTGAGGGAGAGGGAGGCTCTCATGAAGATACTTCATGCTGCCTTGATCTGAGAAGTCAGAAACAACATGATTGTCCCCTCTCAGCAACCATTTTGTAGTTAAGAGTCCTTCAATTCCTACTGGTCCACGTGCATGGATACGAGAAGTACTAATTCCAACTTCAGCACCTGCAGAAAACATACAAAATAAAGTCAGTCAATCCTCAGAAGATATTCAACCTGGTACTATACAGTTTTGCATCCTCACGTAGAAAAAGCCATTCAGTGACCTGTCTTTTTCCATTCTCCCAAGGCATCAGAAGTTATGTTTACCTGTTCTGATGGAGAAGTTAGTTAGATGAGCATTTATAAAACAGGTCCATTGTAACATGGACTTGTTTATACTTCTGGCTCCTACAGCATCCCTTTTAGAGAGAGAAGCTAGAAAGGTAGGTATGTCTTCTATATATTTTTACACTTTTTTTTGCTGAGGGTTTACCCCTTGAAAATTAAGAGCTACATTAGTCAAGACTGCAAGCTAACATTTTTAGCATTTACAGAGCACTGTATATTCCAGCCAGCACAGCAGTAGCCTGCTCCAGAGATTTCTAGTTCAGGAAAGTTTGTTTCTACTTCAGGAAAGATTGTTTCTCGCATCTTTTCCAATTTGCAGTAGGTACACATTTATTTAGGTAACTACTTGGATGCAGTCTTTCTATTCACACCAAACTGGACAGCAGCTTAATCTGCCCAGAAGGAACAAAGCATGGCATTCTTTACAGAGTTAACAGAAAGATAAAATAAACCGTTTACCCATTTCAGATCCCATGTTGCATTGTTCTGTCATTACATGCATACAACATACTTTATTCTGATTTAATAGAACCTTAACTGACCTAAAATATTTTTGCTCCCTACTGCTAAATTGTCTACACAACAGTATTATCTAGTTCTAGCAGGAAAGATACAGAACTATTACATTCTGCCTGAATGAATGGGCTAGGGTTCAGCTTTTTTCCTGCACTTTTTTCTTGTAAACCTTGTATGAGGCAGTATGATCAGAAACTAATCATGTTTTTCAGAACCGAGATGAGTATTTGCCACACTTCCCACATATCAGTAAATACTACAGTTATCTCGGCAATTTCCTCTTCCTCACTCTCCTGTTTTCAGCTGGAATAGAGTCAATTTTCTTAATAGTGGCTGGTACAGTTCCGTGTTTTGCATTTAGGAGAAAAATAATGTTGATAATACAGTGATGTTTTAGTGATTGATGAGTAGTGTTCACACTATGTCAAGGTCTTTTCAATTTCTCATACCATTCTACCAGTGAGGAGGCTGGGAGTGCACAAGAAGCTGGGAGAGGACAGAACTGAGACAGTTGCCCCAAACAGCCCAAAGAGATATTCCAAGCCATGTGACATCACACTGAGCAGTTGTATGGGAACTGCTGATCACAGCCTGGACCTCTGATTGACCACCTGAGACAAGCAATGAGTCTCTCCTAGATCCCATTTAAGGGCTGACTGCCGGTGAGGAAGGATCTCTCTCTTGAGATTGCTCCTTGTGGAGTTTAACATCATCTTCTTCTTCTTCTCTTTAACATCTTTATCAATGACATCGATGACGGAATCGAGTGCACCCTCAGCAAGTTTGCTGACGACACCAAGCTGAGTGGTGTGGTTGACACAGTTGAAGGACGGGATGCCGTTCAGAGGGACCTCGAGAGGCTAGAAAGGTGGGCCCGGGTGAACCTGATGAGGTTCAACACGGCAAAGTG